AACAGTTTTAAATAAATCGATTTTGATGGTCTTCATTTGTTATCTTTTCAAAATCGTTAGTTAAAGCTTAATAATTCAGTCCTCGCTTTTTGTCTATATATTTTAACCAATTGCTTTGTTATCTGAATATTTTGCTCCCCATCTGCGTCGGTGTCTGAGGGACACAAAAAAAAAGAAAAACTGCGCCATGAAGACTCCGAAATGACGCCACTAAAGTCCGTGCTGCATAGCCGCGAGCTGCATTAACACAATCTTTGTAAATAAGCTTTTATCCGCGCCGCGCAGCATCATCTCTCCAACCATTTTTTGTGCCACCCAACTCGCTTTCTCCGTGCGCTTTCTCTGTTCCTCGCAGACGTATTGTCCAAACTGAGTCGAAAGGGGTTTGCTTTCTCTTTATCTCTGTGCGCTGGGGCCTTTGTTTGGGCAACAACAACAGCGAACAGGAGCAGAAGCAAAAGCAGAAGCAGCAGCAGCAGCGGCGAAAGGTTCAGACGTTCAACGGGGCGTATGCGTAATGTTTCCACTTTTTGTCCATACATATGCCTGCCAGTGTGTATTTGTGTTGAAGTCTTTTGTGTGCCGACGGTTGTAATTATTGCTACTGCTACCGCCGCCGCCGCTTGTACTCCCGCACAAATAAAAACCCACATATTTCTGTCCTTTCTTTTCGGCCCGAGCTTGTTCTGGGCTTTCCAGTCTAGGTCCTTGGCAACTCCTTGTATCGCCTCTGTTTCAGCGCTTGTTTCACTTTTTCGAGTCTTTTGTGTCCGCTAATTAGCACAGCTTGTGGCCTTTTGACTGAGGCATTGCCATAGCAGCTCTGTAACAAAGTACGGGTACGAATGCATTCTAATTTCCAATGTACCGAGTATATCAAGCTTCAGATCTTTTATCAAACTGTTATCAAAGAAAGTTAGTTTTCCTATTCTAAGAAAGTTATGTGTAGTATGACCGTATAGCGTCTTCATGTACTCCGTAAACTTTTTTTTAAAATCTGTAAATTATATTTTATTTTAAAATTTTTGTTATCTTAAAACCATAAATTATTAAATAATATCTTAGGTGCATTAAATAACAATTTATAAAAGGTACTAGGCGAAAATAATGTTTGCTTGCCCATGCATTAAGCAACTTAAATCACATAAAATAATAAATTTAACTTTTTATGTAAATTTTGTTATATATAAACTTATATTTTGTTCGGGAAAACTAACGCCACATTTGGCGCAAAGTAATCGCGATGAAGTGTTTTTATAGCAAGGATATATGGATTGATTTAGATCGAAAAAAATCCAATTTATGGCTTGAACAAGTTTTAAAATTAAATGGGTCCTTACAATGGATCCACACATCATACCTTTGCCTATATTTTTTTTATTAATTCTCTAAGCCGCCGGCGAAACCTTTATCGATTTAGATGATACACATTCATCAGTCTGCTTGTGTGCGACTTTATCCCCAAACTGTCAACTCAACATAATTTCAATTTCACAAATTCTAAGTCAATTAATGTTAAGCCCTAACCGAAAATTTCGAATTTTTTGATCGCAAGTGGTTGATTGCGGGGGTTGGGGGGGTATGCACTGCCCTAAATTGGAAACAACAAATGTCAGCAGTTTTATGTACTGCAGACCACCGCCAGCAACAACAACAACAACAACAAAAACGACTACGGCAGACAAATACAATGTATAAATGATGATGTGGCTGATGATGAATGCACAAGGATGTGCCTGTGCCAGTGTGAGTGCGAATAAAAGGACATCCCTCCGTGCGAGAGAATGTGTGTGTGTGTGTGTGTGTGTGTGTGTGTGTGTGTGTGAGTGTGCGTGTGTGTTTGTCTATTTGTGTGCATGTGTGACAAAGTGAATACGAAATTTGCATACGTTGGCTTTACGACTGAATATAGGGAAAGAGTTTGCCTTGGCTACCAATTTACGAGCAGATCACCCAAATTGAAGGACTATCCGTCCCAATCCACCGGACGTGTGTGTGTTTGTTGGTCTCGTCGCTTGTCATTCCGAATTTCCAAACATTTCTCGCAAAAAATAAACGATTTCAGCTTGAACCACTTGATTGCGGTACTAAATTAAATTATGGCGTTACTGAATACAAAATACATTTTAAATTTATGCAAATTCCGTTGCAAGTTTATGTCAATGGAAATGTGTATATACAGAAATGTTAGAAATCTCTAGAAATGAATTAGGTTTATTTGGGGGATAGTCAGTCAGTGGAGATACTATTTAAAGTGCGATTTTATTATTTATTTCAATTGTTTTATGACATATAGAATTTTTTCTCAGAGAAACTAAAAAGTAAAATAATTTAAAAAGATTTAGAGTTAAATAAGGTTTATTTTGGGACTTAGTACGTTTTTATCATTTATCTGAATTGTTTTTGTGATAAAACAAATTAATTAAAATTAAAAAAAATACAAAAGAAAAAATGTTTGTTTTTTTTTGGGAAAGAGCCGACTAAAAACTCGATTTTAATCCATTTAAGTGTTGCTGGCAATAATTATAACCAAAATAAAAATAAGGACTCAATTTCATTGGCAGCCAAGCAAATTAAAGAGGAGAGGCTATAATTATCGTTTCATCCCACCTTGCTTTCACTCATTTTTATAACTAAGCCCCAGCCTTCTTTTGGTTCAATGCGCTTTCAGCCATTTCTCGTCAGCCTTCGTTCACTCGATTTCCACCTGAGTGTCTTGCAAAGCAAAGCGTAGCTCATTATGCAGTATATTTGCAATATGCTTAAGTAACCAGACTCCCAGTTTCACAGTTTCCCAGTTTCCCAGTTTCCCGGCCACCACCCACAACTCCATGGAGTGCATTGTAGTGCCACTTGGCTGGTTCACATTTCCTTTGCCTCCTGCGGCAGCCCATCGCTGGTGTTCTGCGAGTGCTGCGGTGAAAATTAAAATTACTTTGGTTACGTCAAATAATGTTGCCTGCGGTGCTGTCCAGGACTCAAAACATAAAGCGACGGCGAAGAATATCGGGGCGGGGCTGCAGGGGAGGATGGGGCAAAAGGATGCCAGTGCCTGCAAAGATGCACCGGCAAAAGGCAACAATTTATAGTGGCCACCGAAGGAGGTATAGTGATAAATTTGACATGGCCAGCGTACAGCCCCAAAAGGCAACTGCGAGGAATGCAGTTGTGGCTTCTGCATTCCAACCCAAACTTCTCTTTATCAATTTTAATTATGCCCAAGACGGAACAATAGTTTAAGACAAGGCTTGCTAAATTAAAATTGTGATGGTTACAAATTTGAGTACTAGCAATTAACTATAACGACAATGATAAAATACGAAAAATATCGTATAACACATAACATATATAAAGTGTAAGGGGTACTAGGGAAGTATTTAGGGTTTTGAAATGATTAATAAAGGTGTCTAAAAGTATGCAAGGAAAAATAGGAACTTTATACTTAACTTTATAAGTGAATTCAAAAACCTAGTGATTTCTGTTGCGTGCGCTATATAAAATTTGTTGTAGTTTTGGAGATAATTATATTCGGTACTCTAATGGACATTTTCCAGATTATTTCCTTTAGTGAATGTATACAAAGTATTTTTAAGTTTTCCATCTGACCTTAAGATTCATTCCTTTAAACACTTTAATCTTAACCTTTGTTCCTTACTGCTACGCCATCTCATATTGCAATTATACCGCCCTTTTTTCCTCAAATCAATGGAAAATTTGTATAACGAGCTCGTGCTCGTTAAGAAGACAGAGAGAGACAAAAAGCTACTTGCATGCAATATTTTATGGTAATTTTATGCAATAAACGTTGAAATGTTTGTCATCAATTTTCTTAACTCATATTTCATGTGCAACCCACCCACCAAGCCACCAATCCACCCACTCGCCCCACTTAGTCAACAAAGGTCTGCACTTTCTTCGCGGCGTTTGGAAGGAATTGAACGCCGGCTGAAGAGGAGCGGGTGAGCCGCCTGAAAGCTATAATTTCAAACACTTTTTATTTTAGACGTTGTCTGCGCTAAACCTCACTCCTTCATTCGAATAAAGCACCTTTTTCCCCAACTTGGCACCCCTGCATCACGTTTTACCTTACTCTCTCTAAATGATTCTAAGTCAGACGCGAAGTGCATCTAACTGAAAAACAGGGTATCAAGAACACAGAATTTAAATATGCCTGTGAAAGGGTTTTGTAAAACATTGAACTTAAATTAAAACGGTCCAACACAAATAAATGATAACAGTCAAAACTTATGTTTTCGCTTCTACTTAGCCAAAATATAACACCTTTAAAGAACACCCAGTATGGAGCAGTACTCTGAGGTATCTTGTAGTGGGGTTGCACTCGTTTTCTCAGCTGCCGAACAATTTTTATGCGTTCCTTTGGTTTTACGCTCGGCTAATGTGATTTCCAGCGAATAAAAACGATAAATCTGTGGGTAGTCCGAAGATGCTGATGATGATGATGACTACGAGTGGTGCGGCGGCACTGTTTGCAGAGGAAGCGGTTTCGTTTTCGGCATTCCTTCGGAGATATTTCGCTGCCTTCACTAACGAGGCAGTTAAAATGAATCTACACCAATTTCTGAATTGCTCCGAGCTGAAGCTAGAAATTGCATCCCATTAAATGCACATTTTTGTCTGTAAACGCATTCGCTGCTTTCCATTTCGAGTCAGCCATTTGCAATTTTTATTTTGGTTTTTGTGTTTCACACTTTTCTATTTAATTGTACACAGAACAAAAAAAAAAAAAATTAAAATTAATAAAATGCTAGTAAAACTCTATAAAATCTTAAGTTTTATTTATAATTAAACGAGAGAGTGTAAAAATACGACGAACTTATCAGTAAAGCTGTAATCAATTACAAAAATTATGACGAACTCTAGATCTGACTAAGAAAAAACGAGGAACAAAATTCCCTGGAATTCAAAGATTGATAAGCTTAATGGGGAAAGTTATAAAGCTGAGATCACACACCGAACGCCCGCCATTCGTGAAACAAAGACCGCCGTAATGGGAAAGCTTGCGATCGCCATCCATCTTCTGGTTGTTCTGTTCCTACCTTTTCCCGGATTCAGTCAATTCCTCGATCCATTATGTGGAACTCGAGCTCAATCAAATACTGGAATGCGGGTCATTAACGGCCAGATAGCACAAAACAATTCGAGTCCCTGGATGGTTTTTCTGAAGGCAACTGACGATACATTCGTGTGCGGCGGAACTTTAATCACAAGTAGTTAGTATTTTAATATCGTTAATAAGGAGTGTCTCATAAATTTAGAACGGTTTTTTCAATCTTCTTAGAGAAAGGATAACTGAAATAATCCTTATAATTGTATTGTTACATTATTGTTCACAGGACTAGTACTAACTGCAGCGCATTGCTTCAGTCCACAAAAGACATTGTAAGTGACTTTAGAAAATTAAAAAAATTATTTAAACTCTTAATGTTTGATTTCTGCTTCACAGATTCGCTCGCCTGGGAGAGTATAAGCGAAGCTTTAAGGGTGGATATAAACCGGAGGTTAGGGTGGACGCAGCTTTTAGACATCGCCTTTACAATCCAAATACGCATGTCAACGACATAGCCATCCTTCGGCTGGCATATGCTGTAACTTACAGAGGTAGGATATATTTCTTTTCACAAATAAAACCAAACAAGTCAATATACCAGCTTTTTCATATTAACCATGTATTTTTTGACTACGTAATTTTTTTCTGCGCAGAAAACATCAGGCCGATCTGCATTGTGTGGGATCCTAGCTGGAGGAACTATATTGACAGTATTCAGCTGCTAACCGGTACTGGATGGGGTAATACCGAGACGGGAATGGATAGCGATGAGCTCATGACACTGGACATTCAGCGTCGTTCACCACAGGTGTGCAACAAATACACCAACAACAACATTGTGAGCAATCAATTTTGTGCGGGAAACTTAAATAGTAATCTGTGCAACGGCGATTCCGGAGGTCCTCTGGGGGCAATGATCACATATCAAAACAAGCAGCGCTTCATCCAGATCGGTATCGCCAGCTACACGAACCAAAGGTGCCAATGGGCTTCTGTTTACACGGACGTGTTAGGACACATCGACTTTATCCTCCGGGTTTGGCGACTATACGGCAATGGTCAAAAAGTGACTTTGCCAACAAGAAAGACAACTACGACGACAAGACCACCAATTAGGCTACCTACAAGGCCACCCAATAGGGAACCTACAAGGCCACCGATTGAGGTTGATTATGATTATGACACGTTCGATATGACGGATCCTCAGAGAGATGATTCGACGATGACTGAATTTGTCATTCCAGTTCAATATCCAGTTGAATATCCTGTTCAATTTCAAGTTCAATATCCAGGTCAATATCAATTTCAATATTTTTGGACCGGTTAAAAACACTGATTCAAAATGAAATATTAAAAATAAATACCTGACAATCGATTCAAAATTTTATATTTCATATTTAAATTACATATAAACTCAAATTATAAAATACGAAACATTTTAAATTGCATGATTTATAACTAAATTATTTTAATTAATCTGAAAAATATCAGATTAAAAAAAGTTAATATATTTAAATTAAATACATTTTTATTAAAGTTTAAAATGGCCTAAGTCTTAATTCAACTTTTACTCTACAAGTGACGTGTGTAAAAATAGTCAAAAAACAATATCAAATATCAATATCAACCAGGAACTATTGAAATATGAATAAAAAATATATCATTATTTTGTTTAATTTTTTTTAAACCCAAAACCACTTAACTCTTTTCTTCCCAAACAAAAAAGGAAAGGTTTTTTAGAAATACTTCGATGACATATAAAAATTTTACACAGAAAAATAGCATTCACCAAAACAATACATTCTATATTCGCAATAAAACATTTAAATCAACAAAAATAAATACATACATATGTCATCGCCACGAACATCAGTTTCATGTGTTGTTCCAAAGACAAAATGCACAGCAATTATTATTATTGTTCCGGCTAGGCTTTTGTTTTTCAGGGTGGTATAAAAGTGCCGTCTGGGAGGGGCAGGAAAAAAGCAAAGCAAAAGCATTGCCAACTAATTAAACTGATGAGAGACAAAGCCTCATGTGAAACAGTAACAAGCACTAACAAAATAGCAGCAAATACTGTCTATCTGTCAGCAATCCGCCCAGCCCACTTCTGCCCCTGGCCGCCTATTCCCCGAGCTCAGACTGATGTATGCAAACAACAACCAGGAGTGAATCTACATCAGTATCTGTCTTGTTTTTAATACCCTTACCAATCTGCAGGCATACTTGTTACATTGTAACTTGGGGACAAAACTATATACCGGAGAAAATAGAACCAAAGGAGTGACAGAAAATATAAAATATAAATAACATAAATGCCGAATATCTACATATATAACTTGGGGACAAAAATATATATCGGTGAAAATAAAACCAAAAGTATACTTTTAGGACTAAAATATAAAATATAAATAACATTTATGCCGCACATCTTTTTTAAAACACTTTGAGTTTATTGTTCAATAGAGTGTCCCAAATTCGTAATGCCCTAAGCCTAGATTTTTCTTTTCGTTTGTATGTCCTTTTTTTGCACTGTTGTTACGGCACATTTAAACAATTGAACACATTCGCATTCGTATGATGGTCAGGCTATGTGGCTTGGTGTATGCGTGGCATTCGACCCCCCCAAAAACGAACTGTTGTCATGGCATTTGCACAATTTCCCACAATGAAAAATAAATAGGTGCTGGATTCATTAGGATTACAAGAGTTTGCAGTCGACATTTGTCGGAAAAAGCGGACACATCCTATGTAGAAGTGTAGAAATATAAAATCAGATAACGAATTTTTTAATTGACGATTCCGGCCATGTGTTAAAACGCCCTTAGCAACAATCGAATTGTCGATGTCAAAAAATGTTGAAAATGTTATTCGGTGCCTGCAGAAGTTCAAAACGAAAAAAGTTTTGGCTAACCTATTTGAATTTACACTTAAATTCTGAAAGCGATAGACAGTTTTATACCCATTACTAGCTGATACCTCCCTTATTAACAGAAAACTGAAACAAAAATTACACTTTCTGACATTTAATCAATTTAACTTCTAAAAACAAAGCAACTTTACATCTAAAAAGTAACAAAATTAATTCCAAAACTTTTTAAATTTTCAAAATAGCGCTTTTCACAATATATTATATGTTTATTTATTATTTCACAATCGAATATTGAGAATTATTATATTATAGTTCACTACAAAACTTAATTATTGTTTTTATGATTATCGCACTGATACGCCGATTTCCGCTTTATGTTTACCTCAGAGTTAAAGAACACACTTTACGCTGCTACGCCTGCTAATTTCAATGTAGACTCTAATTTCCATAGCTGAGTTCCCCTACTCTGGTAAATGTTTGCATAAATACAGACAGACAGTACTAGCACTTGCGCAATTTCTGCACTCACCATTTTGAGTAAATAGAGTTTCGGAATGCATATGCATGCGTTTTGTTTGGTCAGAAGGAGTAGGATGTGTCTGTCGGAGTCAGTGCCAAAATATTTAGCTAATTTATAAATTGCACAGCCTGTCCTTTGCCATCGCCGCATCTACATATTGCCGATCTTTTTTGAGGCTTTCAACCAACAAAGGAATATGTCACAAAAGTGCTGCACAAACAGCACGAAATTTACTTGTTAATATATGCCAGCATTGTGCAATCGAAAATGACCGAAGAAATGTTACTCTTTATTACATTTCTATACAAAATAATAATGACTTCTAAGTATACTTTTAATTCTTTTCAAAACATACATGTAATGCTTATCCCGTGAAAAAGTTTTCACCACCATCTGAACTTTGTAGGATATTCTTTAATCGTCACTCTATTTACACATTAAAATGGTATATGCAATATCCGGTTTCCCGGCCATTGTGCTTTACTGAGTTGGGCATATCGCGTCATGACGCATACATACTTGTATCCATAAATATATATAAGTATTGCATAACTGCAAACATAATTCATTTTAAAAATCGATTTACCCGCTGGGTCCTGCGTCCAGTGTCCTGTGACGCAGACGTCGTCGCTGCAGTTTATGAGTTTATTGTTTACGCTGCTTTCAGCCATAAATATTTGCAAAGTGCTTGTAAAAAACAAAAGGTGGCAAGAAATCGAGTGGGAGGGCTGGCGCATCGGACAGACAGAGTGTTGATGATGGCCAAGAACGCTGGGATGCGGAAGCGAGTGGAGGGGAAGCCAATAACTTTGTTAAACGCCATCGAGTCGAGCGGCTTTTGTTGTTATTCAGCTGGGTTCGCAGTTCGCACAAAACTTAACTTTTAGTTTGCATGTTTCAGCCATAAATGGAGCTGAAGGAAATTGAAGTGACCATTGTCCTGGCAAGAATGGGATAACCAGCCATCACCACTGCACATGCTATATACATAACAGCTCTATCGGCCAGCTCCAGTACTCGAAGCTGCCGGAAAACGAGCGCGCCAAATCTATAATTGCCCCCAAACAATCGCCAATCAAACTGGGACCGGGAGACCCTTCCATCGACTTCTGCACTCGTCTGTCATGACTGCCTGCCTTCCGTGTTAGCGCACCCAAGCTATAAAATTTAATTTATTTGTCTCTAATAATTTCCCACGGCGACTGTTTGATCTGCAAATGCTGAGCAGGATATTGAAGTAAACGGAGTACACACGATTTCAGCAGAGGTTCAGGAAGCTTAGTTATTTGGTACGAAAATTATTGTTTATTTGTTGTATAATGTTTTGGCAAACTTCGAAATCATTCTGGGAAAATTAATTTCAATATTTCAACATTATATAGGTATAGATTAAATAAATCTTTTCTTTAATTTTGATATAATATCTTTAAGCTAACAGAGTATGGAAAATGTAAATGTATGGATTAAAATTAATTTAATAATATGTTTTCAGATAATATATAAACTAAACTGTATTAAGCCTTTACTGTGAGTATTGATACTAAGATATTTCTTAGACTTTCTTTAATTTGTTTTAAGATAATATATTAGTAAATATTATTATGAAAACTAGGGTATCCACACAGCTCTGTAATGTGTTCTATCCAGAGTGCACACTTGTTGTTTCGATTCCTTAAGACCTCCCCCGAGCAAATCTGAAGCAGCCATCTAGTCCCTCGCTCTTAGCCAAACTCATAACTTCATTTGGCTTGCGTGCCAATTTGAATCGTATCGGAGGTGGCTTGAGTGGGAGCAACAGAAGGAAAGCTCGTAAAGTTGCTGCTGTCCCACTTAAGCGCAATTGGTGGCCATAAAAGCCACCGCGCTCGACTTGAAGGGACGGGACTATGTGCGGATGGTCAACAAGCCAGGGCAGGACCAAGGATAATAAATAATTAGATCGCTCTGACCGCAAATTGAAACTAAATGTGGCTAACAATAGGCAAACATGGAGCTGCAGTTAGTTGCATTTTTCAATGGTTTCCAATTTTTCATGTGAGCTCCATTATCCGCTCCCTTTTATGAGGATGGCTACACGCTAAAAATAAATAAATATAAAATGCAAAAATTATTTTACTTTATCATTAATTGAACTGCTTCAATAATAGCCTCGAATATTTGAATGCTTCCCGAGCAAACATATCAATCCTTAATTCTTGTTTATATTGCTTGTATATTTTTTAAATATAATAGAGCGCGCTGAAATTTTTATAAGTGCTGAAAGCAGGGTTGCTGGGGCAACTGGAATTTCAAGCCAAACAATTGACTTATCATTTGACTTTGTGCGGAGCAGCCAATCCCCTGGGAGAGATCGAAGGGGACAATGGCGAAATTCCACGCAATCGGCTTATGATGTTGACACTGCTGCGGTTTGATGCCACTCCCAGGACCTTCCCCTTTGGCCACCTGCCCGATTCTGTGGCAGGACAACGCGAAAACCAACAACAATCACCGACAATGGCTTTCAAATGCGAAACAAAGAAGCGCCCCGCGCAAAATCAACAATGCTGACAAGCGAATATATTTAGGCGAGGCCAAGAGGTGCCAAGTTCATGGCAATTAGATATTGGCTTCTTGCTTTCCCAATAAAAATAGATATTTATGTTTGTTTTTCTTTTCTCCCAAGTCAAAGCATTAGTGTCTGCATTGCGGTTTAATTGAAGAAATTAAATTAAAGTTGATTGTTTATTTTAACTAACCAAAACATGTTATTTTAATTATCAACAACAAAACATAAAATAGTGTAATCAACTGATATTTATTTAATTTAACATCGGTTAGCTTTGCTGTGAGCACTTTTGTTTCCTTAGCTGTAGTAAAGAGCTTCTTTAATTTACATAGATTTGCACAGCCATTGAGTTCCAACCCTTTTCCAAATTAAATCTTTTATTTGTCATTCCTTCTACCTTCACTTTTTGTGAAGTACACGTGGATAGAAGCCACATCGGCCAAGATAAAAATTCAATTAAGCCCGGCCCAAACCCAGCTAACAACAACAAACACGAACGCCTTTGTCAACTAATTACATGTCTGCGACCCGATGGCCGACGAAAGGTTAAAGTAATTTGCAGGGAAACGTTCTTTGGCTTTTAATTGGAAAAATACGTTTTCGCATTGAGTGACAAAGGTGTGATTTATTATATTGAATGGCTGTTTGGTTCATCACTCTTTTTCTTTTCATTCTCACCTCCTTTGGTTAATTTTTTGCTCTTCATTTTCCTCTGCTTTTGTCTTTAATTGTCAGCCAAGTTTTTTTTTAATTATTTTTATTTGAATCCAGCTTTCGGGCTATTTGAATTTAAATTTGCTAGTCTATGCTATTAAAGTTTGTTAATTAAAGGGACTTTCACATTTAGTTAACTATTCAGTTTAAAATATAATTTTGGTAAACAGATATCAAAATAAATTATAATTATGAATAGCTGTCAACAAAAACATTCATTTGATTGCTACAACAGCGGTTAACCAGGAAGCACACAGGAAATTAACTTATCGAACACCAAGGAGCATCGAACATCCACAACATAAATAAGATAATCTTTAAAATTTAATTAATATTTACAGAAAAAACAGCTCAGAGAGGAACGCTATAAATGGTTAGTAGAAAAGAGGGAGAAGTAAAGATGAAATTTCGTATAGAAAAGATGTATAATACATATTGCGATATTCTTCAAAAAAAAGTATATACATTTCCTGGATTTGGCAGAAAAATATAATTATCAATGCAAATTAGAATGTAAAAATAATAAAAGCGGAAATTAAATTTTAAATAAGGTTTTTTGATGTATATACACAACAATTATATTGATGGAAGTTTTCTTTGAGTGTCAGAAAATATAGACGGTAAGGTAACTTTCCCTAATACTTATTTTCCTAATATTAACGATGAGCAGCTTCGGTCAGTTGCTACTTAATATGTAGATAAAATGATATTTAAATTTAATGCTATTAGTTCTTGCAGTTCGTTACATAATTTGAGTGTCAGCATACTGCAAATGTTGATTTTCACCATAAATTGAAATTATACTTTACATGTGCATAAGTCTTGAACAGAACATGTAATTGATTCAATTGATTCTCCCTCGAATACTCTTGTAGAATAAATCTGGAAATAATTAAGCTCAGGATTCTGGCTTCCTGGACATGTTAACAAATGTATATAGAGTGCATAAGTAGGTACATAAGTGGAAGGTTATGTCTTCTTGTCAATTTTCATATCAATTCCACATTTAATTACTTGTTTTCAAGAAATTACCAACAAATAGTTTTAATGGTCTTGAACCCCAAAATAATAAAATGTATTATAAATATTTTTGATACAGTTGCGTATTCAGGATATAAAAGACGTATTGGTCAACTTTGCTCAATAAATTATATTTATATATATTATTTGATTTACCGCTTGAAGAATGCTTGAGCCTACAAGATCATATTATTAAGATTAATATTATTAATTATTAATTGATAAGACCAACTCAATTTTATATTATGTTCTGAGCATTATGAAAAAATTCCCTCTTTGCTCGTTGTTTAAGTGGCTCAGGTGCGTGTGCCTTAAGCCACTTTATGCTGCTGTGCACGTAATTAGTTAACAAGTCGCATAAGTCCTCAAACCTAAGCTGTTTAAGTAGCCATGGAGCGTTGATGTTTTCGTCCTCCTTTCGGATTTTCGTTCTTCAGCCACTTAAAGTCGGCTTTGTCCACTTGTAGCTGCCGTACACGTTCATGTAAACGAGTATATACAGGGTAAAAAACAATAGCTGTGTATAGTGTTTTATAAAAAAAGAAGAACATAAGCTGAGGGTAAATTAGCCAAAAATAATTGATTTTCATATAGATTATAAATTTATCTTTAATTCTTTCCGCAGATTACCACATGCCCTTCAAAATTGACTGTGCAAATTTCCATTCTCTTGTTATTTTAATTGGTCTAATTTTAACGGAAATTAATTTTTTGTTTGAAGTCTGTCTTCGAGCTTCCAAGCCAAATTTAAAGATCAATTTTAACAAAGTTTTTAAAATTCATACAAAAAAATGTGAACTTTTAAGGTTGAGCCTTCAGGTACTTAACGAAACTATTTTATTTGGTATCATTTTATTTTAAAATTGGCATTGGAAAAGAAACATTTTTCAGTGCATGGGTATGTTTGAGTCGACAAGGACATTTCATGCAGCTAATGATGTATTCATTTTCCATGTGCAGCTCTCGCTCTTCCCCAGTGTGTCTTTTCAGGCTTTCAATTGCCAGCAAATGAAGCTCCTTGTGGGACTGTCAGAGCGTTCTGTGAGCTTAGTGCACTGGAAAGATACTTGAATTCGTATGAGCAAATAATGCGATTTGCTTAATGAGCTTGCTAGGACGCACAAAAACTCACACACACACAAAACTCACACACACAAAAACACAGTCTCACCGATAAGTAGGCAATTCGGTCAGCGATTTCAACCTTGAACTCAATCTGCGGGCCGTAGTTAATTCCGGTAAATATATTCACAAATTCCGGCGGGCTCGGCCCGATTCTTTCTGCTCTTCACTCCCAGGAGAACTATAAATAACCCTTTCGATAACAAACATTGCGATGTGTTGATAATAAAGGGTTGATTTATTTCTATTCTACGTTGTGATTTATGACCTTTAATGGCCGCCGATGCCAAAGCGAGCGATGCGAACGCCATCGCACAGCAAGGACAAAAGGAGATGAAATTCAACAATGTGATTCAACATTTAACATGGGGCAGCTGCAAAAAAGGAAAAATAAAAATCACAATACGGAAGAATGGCAACAGAAAACGAAAATTGAGGCGAATGTCTTCCCTTGAGATTAATCAGGGGTCTTTAAATCTAATAAACATAATATTTTCAAAGGAATAATATTCAAAGAATTTTATGGTTTATTTTATTTTTTTTTTTTTGTATTATTTATGCAGGTTGATTCCTTATTATATTTTGCCTTTTTTTGCAGTTGAATAAATGTTCATTTTTGTTTTATATAAAATAAAACATTATTGTACATAGTTATAGAATTTGCAGAGGCTTATTTTCCTTAGGATAAATATTTGTATTACTTGTAATATTAAATCAATTACAAAATCGAGGGTATTCTAAGTACTTCTCTCGGAAACAACGTCTGATCCACTCAAATTCTCGGTATGCAAAGCTTGATAAGCCACATTGTCGACCTTATTAAACAGAGAGCACCGACCGATCAATCAACAGTAGCGCAATGAAGGCGGCAGTAATCGGAATCTCAGCGTTACTGTTTCTTCTACCCATCCCGGGATTGACCCAATATCTGGACGGGGAGTGCGGAATTCAATCGAAGGCCGCGAATCAAACCTCAAGTCCCTGGATGACTTATCTTCACACGACCGAATTGATATTTGTGTGCGGCGGAAGTCTAATTACTCAAAGTTCGTATCACTGTGGACGTCCATCCACCAATATATGTTGTATGTTTACTGGCCTTTTTGACAAATATTCTTACGAAGTGCATTTAAAAGACTAAGTAGTCAATACGTTTTTTTCCAGAACTGGTTCTAACAGCAGCGCATTGCACAAAGGCCAATGAGCATCTGTAAGTAACCCAAAAAATAAAGAAGAAAACAAAATAAAAACCAAATATTGCTTGCAGAGTAGCTCGTCTAGGGGAGTTTATTGGAATTCGTGAAAAACAGGACACTATTCGATCGGAACATAATGTAAACCAAATCTTCAAGCACCCTTTCTACAATGTGGTAACACATGCAAATGACATAGCCATTCTCGGTTTGGCCCCGAAGGTGGTGTACACAGGTGAGTTTAGTTAAATTCTATTTTAAAATTTAAAAACGTAAATATGAAAGATATAGAATTGTTATATTTATTAGTTGTTAAAACTCGTATGCACAAGAGGTATTATCTGTTCAATAACTGACAATTGTACAATGTGAAACAAATAAATTGAATGACTTTAAATATACTATAAGTCATCTGTGTAAAAAGAAAATGCTTCACATATTTATTTCAAGTCTACTATCTTTTGTTTGGATCTTTGACTAATTTTGTTTCTCTGCACAGAACACATCAGACCCATTTGCATCCCGTGGTGGACTTCGTGGAGACAGTATATCGACAAAATCCAGGTGCTCATAGGTACCAGATGGGGTCTTTCCTTGCTAAGAAACGAAAGTGATGCCAGCAGAAATGTGTACTACCTCCAATGGCAGTAGTATTGCCAGATCACAATTCTGCGCGGGAAACTCGGAAAGTAATCTATGCAACGCGGACTACAGCAGTATCCTGGGAGCAATGGTTCCTTATAAAAACTTCAGTCGATTTGTCCTGGTCGGCATAGCGACAACGAATCAAAGATGCAACATGCCGAGCATTTACACTGATGTTCTGAGCCACATCGACTTTATCCTCACAGTGTGGCGGTATTATGGCAAAGGTCAAGGAGAATGGATCCAAAGTTCAACGACACGGGCACCGAAACTAATTGATGATACGGGTTTGCATTCGGAATCGGGATTGTTTAATTCGTCCGTTCCAGTAACTTCTTAATGTATTTTCGAAAAACATCATTGTAAAAATGTTACCAAGAACCTGCAGTTATAAATCCATAACTTTTCTTTCGCGCATCCGATTTCAAAGTTTTATATCTTTAAACTCTCATGGCTTAAACCTCTACAAATTTGCATTTAAATTTTGTTTTGAAACTTTGGGTTGATATTTTTACGACATAACTCCTTAATTAAATTACGAAAACATCATCTTAAAACAGGTACCAAAAATCTGCTGTTTTAATTCCATAACTTTTCTTGCAAACATCCGATTTCAAAATGGCATATCTTTAAAGTATTGGAGCTTCAGTCTCTAAAACTCTGCGTTTAAAAGTTGGTTTGTAATTTCGGGTCGATTTTTTGTCATTTTTATGATGTAACCCATTTCTAAATCTCCGAAAAAATCGTCTTTGCAGAAAAGTGACCAAAAACCTGCAGTTATAAATCCATAACTTTTCTTTCGCGCATCCGATTTCAAAGTTGTACATCTTTAAACTCTCGTGGCTTAAGCCTCTACAAATTTGCATTTCGGCAAGCCAAACATGCTATATTCATGAAAACATTTAAATTATTATATATTTTCGTATATGTTTAAAAACATTGAAGCTATGAAAGATCGACTCTTCTAGTGATGCTGATCAAAAATATATATACTTTATAGGGTCGGAAATGTCTCTTTCACTGCGTTGCAAACTTCTGACTGAAATTATAATAACCTTTGGAAGGGTATAAAAATTCAGAAACGGGAGGGCTTGAGTCCGCATAAATGGAAATCGTTCATTTTAATGGGCGTGGCGCCGCGAACAAAAGGAAGGCTCCAGAAACTTCCGGCAAATCCCGATTTTGTTTGAACAATTAAAATGCCTGAATAGCCGAAGTGGCCGCCCACATGCCAACCGACAGCACATTAACTACAAATTACATTCACATTAGTGTTTCGGAATTTCGCAGCCTGCCCCATCCGGACCGTTCCTCGGACCTTGTTCCTTAGTCCTTGGTCCTTGGTCCTTGGTCCTAAGTTTGGCCTGCTCGTGCTCGTCCTCGTCCTTCTGTGCTTTTCATTTCGTTGCCTTGCTTTTTTTAAACCAAACACCTAATAAATCAAAGCGGACTCGTGAGAGACCCCAGGAGTATGCTTGTTAAATGCTCGTAATAAATTAGCCGCCGCCTCCCGAACCGCAAAGTCCGGCCCCGCCCTCTTAGCAGCGCCCCCCGCCCACCTGCCAGACATCGGGCCCTTGATTATTGGCTTAGCTCATGGTCTGGCCATTTTACAATTGCCTCCTCTCCATCCGATGGCCCCCAATTGCACTCAATCGATGCCATTCTTTCTCTACACTCTGTGGCCCAGACTCATTCATTTTGCGCGCAATTTTATTTCTATTTTTTCGTTAGAGATTTTTTTGTGTAATAATTTTAATGAAGTCAGCGCAAAATTTTCCGCTGGGCTAGCAATTATTGGTGGTGGCGCCAGATTGGGAGTTTTGCGATTGAACATTTATGCAATTCATGCTTAATTCAGGTTTGTTTGAAGTTTTCTCTGATAATTCGGAAGAAAACTTTAAGATTGGTGTCAGTCATATAACTTGTTTTAATTTCAAGTCATTTCATATCATTTATTTATCTTAACAAATATATGTTTAAATTAATATAAAAGCTAAAGAAAGAGATTGAAAAAAACAAATAGACTATATATATCATAATTTTGATATATATGTGCATTTGCGGAATTTGTCCCACACGCTATTTCAATATTTGATTCATTTTACAAATTTTGTATTCTTTGTACACTTTGAACACATTTTTTGTATACAAAGCAAAATATCAATAAGGCCCACCCTTCACTTTACTTCTTCCATTTGTAAAGGCAACTTACGTTGACTAAAATTAGTTTCCTTTGATACATATTTGCTTTCACATTTCGGACGTCTTTACACAGAATCCGCCCAAGAAAATGCTGAAAGCATTGCTACTGCACTGGAGCACACACGGAAATTTTTATGAGTTGCGCGTTAATGTTGCATAATTGTTTCATGTACACAATGTCACACGCACGCGACTAACGAAGCGCTCCATGATCGGCCCAAGAAGTCACAGTTTACAGGGAGCCGGCGGATGGCGGATGGCAGGTGCGCCGAGTCAGCGCTAATTAGAATGCCAGCGACAGGTAGACGGGACCGAGGAGCATAGATAGTCATCAGCAGAACAGCATCCCACATCCTGCACGGCAAGAAATCTGACAGTACAAAATGTAGAATATTTTGTAATATAAGGTTGCTAAATTAGGTTAATATATTAAATACTACTCTACTCGAAAGTGATGCTATGAGCTACAGCACCATAAAATGTGATTTTAAAACATAATATAAAATAAATTCATTTCAATTGGCTTTTAAATTTAGCACGACTATATGTAACAAAAAACAAACAACAAAAACGAATACCTAAGATAAAAGAATGCAAAATCCAAAACATATGTAATGTTTTAGATTCAAGATTAATTTGTTGTAGAACCATTGCTATCGTTTACAAGTCTTTAATATAAAAATAGCAAATTGTGTTTAATGGCTTAAAAATAAAAGCCCGAATTCGTTTTTTCCGTGTCGGAAAAATTTGCCAGCCAGGCGAAGTTGATGAGAGGCTCCTTCTTGACTTCCCGCCTCCGTGCCAAACTTCTTTTCCACCATTTTATTTGAGCAACTTTGGCGCAGAAAAGTTCTTAAGCGTGCAGTGAAAAATGCAACGTCAACGCCTCGAACGAAGACCCAAAGTTAAATGTATCCGAGTGCCAGGAAGAGTGGAAATGGGAAGTGCATCACGCTAATTTCTGCAAACGCATGGCAGGCTAAAATTAAAATAGCAACGCCAGAGATGCTTACCCTCGGAATCAGAAGCAAATAAAAGGTGGCGTGCGCCGCAAAGTGTGCTACAAAATGTATGCAAGCTTTTCCACCTCAATTTATGAATTTTAAAAGAGTTTCATTTGTGTGTGGTGTAAAGTAACTAGAAATTACGATAGTATCCGTTCTTATTATTTCTTGTTTAAGCAATTATTAGCGAAAAATAATGTTTATGTGTAAAGCAAGAAAAAGTAGTTATAATCGCTATTTCTACTATATTTGTAATTAAATGCCCAATAAGCATCAATGAATTTTTATAAAATATTTGTTTTAAGTAAGTAATCTTATTTATTTCATTCGGTTGGCTAAAAATCAATATAAATAAAAACACATTTTAAGTAAAATTTAATTAAAATTTCATCAACAAACTCTGGGGAAAAATGAAAGCTCCTACAGGATTACCAAAAATGGAAAGCCCAGGAGGACCAAGTCTCATTTATTATTCAAAGGCCAAAAATAAGGGAATCGCTTATATATGCAGAAGCGAGAGGCTAAAAGGCTAAGCAATTTTTTTTTAATACATGCAACAGACGTGGTCCCTTGGTCACTTTGCAGTTGCATGCCGCACGCGTTCAGTTTCCCCTCGTTTGGCCGCAACTGTTGCCCGAGGAAGTCCAAGGAAAATCGCTCCAAATGAAAAATCACAGCGCCGTGCAGCGGTGTCTCATTCCGTGCGCCCTACTTCCGCCCCTTCCCCGTTTTCCCCGCTTTCCCAGCATTCACAGTTTTCCCTTCCGCTTCCTGGCCTTTGGGTTCCGCACACCCACTGGCCAGCGAGGTCCTAACATTTTTATTGTGTTCTGCTCGGTGTGGCAAAGTCATATTCATTCACATTCATTCATTCATTCACTTCTGACTTGCAACACATTTTTATATCTCCTCCTTTTGTGTTGCCCTTTTTTTGCGCCCAGAGTGTGAATGGTTTTGTATCATTTTTATTTCAGTTTCTATCATACCCTTTACTGTTAGCTTTAGATTTAGCAGGAAAGCTTTTGTAGAACTCAGAAATTTGTCAACTCAAGAGTATCGTTCAAAAAACTTCCGAAATATCCGGATCTCAGATATTCACAGAACAAAGGCTTTTAAGTTGTCTAACTAGTAAATCCACATTGCTTAAATTACATGGGTTATTATTTACGAAAAATATATTTTTATAATATATTGTCCACAGTGATTTCGTTGTAAAACCAACAAGGTGAAATATGGCTGAAAATAATAAGAATTAAGGTTGAATAAATTTTTAAATATTCAATTTGTGTATACCGCTATGTTAATTAAATGGAAATTAATTATGGCTGTCATTCTTTTTATTTAGCAGTAAGATGGAAAAAGTGTGCTCCCAAAGTCGTCATGCTTCAACTGCCAGCATTCGCCATTTATTTATATTTTTTCATTTCCATTCCTATTTTCACATTTTTACTTCTGTCTGTGCTTTGGCTTTTTGATGTGTCCCATTTTGTGTTTGGTGTGGTGTGTGCAGTTAAAAGATTTATAAATATGAATTTTATACATTGTGGCATGAAAAATGCAAATTTTAGAAATGGCCAAAGGAAATAGAAATGGTCATGGGCAAAAGCACAGTTTCTACCATTTCCCCTAAAAGAGTGAAGTTCCCGAATTCCTCTCGACCCCTTTCCTCCTTTCACGTTGTCTCTCATTTTTTGTGTCTTTACAAAGGAGTTTTATAGTTTTACAACCATTTTTTTTCAGTGACACAGATGCGTTTAATGACCAAGAGACTGATACAACCAGTATTGTACCGAATGCAACAAATGGCCACAAGAACCACCGAAATAATACTCTTCTCAATCGCAATAAAAGGTACAATAGATATCTCAATAGATTTGTTTAAAGATAGTTTGTATAGTTTGTTTTATACTTGTAAAAGTGTTAGAAGTCGCTTCTTGATAAGTTTAAAGGGCATTTTGTGAGTTACTTTGTAGAAAAACAATATACATTCGAATATAAATTTTAAGTTATATTTCACACATCACATTGAATTTTGTTTAGGGAATGAAAATGCCGATTCAATGCTAAACGAAACAGTTGCGTTTCATTACTAAATAATTAATTGCTATTTGTGCACGATTTTTTACAACTTTACTCGTTGAATGAAGCTGTTGATTTTTTTATTGTTGGCCAATGCCATAAATCAGTACACTTTTATGCAAAATTTTCCGGAAATTTTATGGGCTAAAATTGGCAGTTGGCCGTTGGCTGGCTGGCCGAGCGACATTAATATTTATTAACATGCGGTGCATGATTAATGCATAATAATGAAATTAGTTAAAGCCTCGAGAGCTGCCGGCATGCAAAGTCAAAAAAAAGGATGTGCAATTTACAATCAAGGGTTTCAAGTTGGATTGTAAAGTGTAATTAATATCAAATGTCATCAATTATTCTAAGCCAGCACATTTTGTGGGGATATTGTGCTAAACGGGGGTGCGATAATTGACAGAGAAATCGCCGTTTCCATTTAAATCAATTAAATTATGAATGCAACTAAAATAATTTAATGATTCACAGGGGGCCAGATATGGGTTGGCTCGTCCCAGTCACTTGATGACAGCAATAAAATAAATTTTGTATTACGCAATTGCAGTTAATTATTAATTCAATAAACTTTTGCCCACTCACTTAAAAGTATTTCAAATAATTGTCATCAATAAGTGCTCATGAGTGTGTCTGTTGGTGAAGCAAATTACATAAATTATTCAGTTTATCAACAGCGAAGAGGCAAAGAAAATGTCATTTAAAGAGTGTGTTAATTGTGCAAGGGCTTGTGTAATTGCATATTTTTAATTGAAATAGCTTACGGGAGGACTTATGAGATTTAAATCAACTGATAAACCACAGAAAATATATAAATTTAATTAAAGAAACAAAAAACCCATTTTTTTTTGTTCAATTTGTTCTGAGTTGAATCAAAACAGGAATTCCTTAAATATTTATGTAAATATTAACTCTCCTTTTTTGGTATTAACAAAACGACTTAATAATATTTCTCATATTAGTGTGCCCCAGCATACAAGTTAATAAAATAATATATTTACGTAAACATCTGCGGTAACCCTTTCTCATGAAGTTATTTTGGCTCAATTATGGCTTCTAGCAGACAATCGTGCAGACACAGCTGGCGCGGTTTTTATTACAGCGATTTACATAAAGCCGTCAAAGAAATTGGCTGCATTATAATCGTAAATTTTAGCGACAATCAAATTAGCCGGTTAGATCAGTTTACGCCGAAAGCATTCTATTATAATTGGCAATATTATGATTGGCTATATTGTTGACAAAATGTATATAATTAAGTGTGTGATTTTTTACCTAATACAATTATATACATAATTGCCACATGGGCATTTTTAAGTCAATAAGAGTTAAGACTAAGTTTATTTGCTTAGCAGTTATAATATAATCATTGTTTGGCTATGTTATTGGCTATGTACCGATAGCTGGAACTATCGATCCCAATTGGTCTAAACTCGAGTTGGGCTTGGGTTTGGTACTCCTTGAACGTTGTCATAATGTCGCCACACTCGGATGATAAAGTCGATGTGGAACAGTACATCAGTGTAAACACTCGGCGTATTGCATTTTTGGTTGGTGGTCGCTATGCCGATCTGTACATAGCGATAGGTGTTCTTATAAGGAATCACTGCTCCTAGCGGATTACTGCACTCGACATTGCACAGATGACTTTCCGAGTTTCCCGCGCAGAATTGGTTGGTGAATATGGTACCGAACACGCTGGTACACATTTCTGGTGGCTGGCGCCAGATGTCCAGTATCCTGAGTCCATTGCCTTCATCATCGTTCTCGGGCTTTCCCCAAACAGGACCACTAAGCACCGGGATGCCGTCGATATACTGTTTCCACAGAGGATCCCATAAAATGCAGATGGGTCTGATGTTATCTAGGAACAAGAGTTCACTACAATGAATTCTATATTTATTTTTCAGTTGAACATTGTTAGTCAGAAAACCAGAGAAACTTAATTATAGTGATATTGTGCATAGAGCAAGTAAAACAAAACTCACCTGTGTACACTACATATGTGGCCAGTCCGAGGATGGCAATATCATTGGCATATGTATCCATGTCGTAGAAAGAGTGCCTGAACAATTTTTTTACTTGATATTCCGCTGATGTAGGATAGTTTTCTTTACGGACTCCCGAAAACTCCCCCAGGCGAGCTATTCTGCAGAGGGAAACAAATAATTTAAAGCGATTTTTTTCATGATTCTGGGAGTCACTCACAGCTGGGCGTTGGATGATACGCAATGAGCTGCAGTTAGTATCAGTTCTGTAAAAATGAATACATCACTAAAGAACAATTTTGCCCTCTGGTATAAAAATATACGTACTGTTAGTAATCAGAGTTCCGCCGCACACAAATACCAAATCTGTGGTGTGCAGAAAAGCAATCCAGGGGCTCGAAGAACTATTTCCTATCTGATGTTGTGATAGAATTCCACACTCCCCGTCAAGAAATTGGGAGAATCCCGAAAAGGGGAGAAGTACTAATAAAAGGCTGGTTAATGCTGACATTCCAATTACTGGTGCTTATGTTGAGCTACTGCTTGCCCATCGATCGCAACACTCTGTTTAATATTATCAACAATAGCGCTTATCACGCTTTACATTCCGCCAGCAAAATCATTATCTCGAAAAGCTGGAACACGAGACTATCAATCCAAAGTTACAATCTGAATATTAATATGAGCTATATATATTCATAATATATATTTTTTCAGTCTTGAATCTATATTTTTTAAGAAAATTAGTATAAGAAATACTTTGGAATATTTACAACAAAATTTATTTTACAAAATACACAATTCACAAGATCAGTAGTTTTTATAGATACGTATTCCATTTTTCTAATCACAAAATTATATAGTTTGTTTTGGGACATAATATGTTTTGAGTTTCGGGGGCTGCGTAGCGTTTCGGGAAACTCAAAGAATCCGGGAAATGTGTTCCCAAGTATACAGGCCGCCGACGGCAGTCAATTTTCTTGTTTACAATGGAGCACACATACGCAACTACCACCCACCATCCCCACTCCTACCCACACACGCACACAGTGACAAATAGCAAACAATTACAAGGGGCGGGGCGTCCTTGTCTCCGCCCCTATCTGCCCAACTGAGCGCCCAGCTCTTGTTGTTGGTTTTTGGCCGCAATAAATACAATTTGCATGACAAAATAGCAAACAACGGCAGCTTTTGCATGTGCATGAGTGTTCCCGTGTTGGTAAGTGTATGCGTGGGCGGGAGAGGTGGGGGCGTGGCACGGAAGCGTCTGCAGGTTCACTCAGCCAAACAAAACTACACACAAAAACAATCAACTGCCCCGTACAACGTAGAAACAATAGCAACAAAAAGAATCGGAGACTTCACTTTAAAAACCGAAGCTGAAAATACCCTTAAGAACGTTAAAAATAAAATATATATTTATGCTACTTATAATGTTTAATAACATATATTGTTATTAATTATTTATTATCGTATAAACTGCTTAGGTTTTGAGACTCAATTTGTAGAACCTACCAAGAAGAAACCCATTAACATTTGAGTACTCAAGACAATTCGTAAGAAATAAAGTAAAAAATATAATTTGAAAAAATAAATGTATGTAATAAATGTAATTTTAAAATTGGGTAAGAAAGGAACTAGGCTATTTGAAAGTCTCTCTATTACTAAGTATTTAATCAAACAATATTGCATATTTTAATAATAACAAGTATTATTTTATACGGGCACAATGAAATGGCATCAGTAACTTCAAATAAAAGAAAATAATGAATAATAAACTTTACTACTTCATTACCAACGTATTTTTTTACATTTACAGGATTTTTTAATTAAGTTCTTCCTTTCAGAATGCCTGGTGCATAAAAATAAAAACACCATTGGCGAGGGTATTGCAGAAGGAAACGAGGCGGAGGCTGAGGCCCATAGTTAGGCTTCTGCCACTGCCGCTTCTGTGAAACAACTTATGAATATTCAATTTTACATAAAAGATTTTTTGTTGTTGCTGCCGTAGCCGTTGTTATTTTGAGTTTTTGTTGCCACTGTCCTGCTGCTGTTCTTTCATAGTCGCTCCTGTTTCCAGTCTTTTTTTTTCAGATTTCTCGCTGCCCTTCATGGATGCAAAAACTCTTCATGCATGCCATGAAATGTGAAAAATATTGGTCTGGCTGACAGTGTGGGGTATAGTAAGTAGCTGGATTGGATGGGCCAAGGAGGTATAGAGTTGGTGATTCCGTAAACCAGAACTAGCCAGATGCTAATACATAAGCAATGCAAAAAAATGCAGCTTTGGCAGTGAGATAAATAAAATATATATTTTGTTTAAGTTTAACAGCTTAATTACTGTTAAAATTCACATATTTGCTTTATTTTCGCACATTCGATAAAACTATTGTTTGATTTGTTAACACTTCGAACAGGGAAACTGCAAATTTATCCTCAATAGATTGATTCAAGAACATGCAGCTTTTATTGTCAGCAATTTTTAATTTGTATTCAGCCAGCTCAGTCCAAGTCCAGATCCTTTTCGATGAAGGCGTTGTGCGCCTGAAACTTTGATATCTTCATGGCGGTCAGCGACTTGAGCAGGTCTTCCATGTGCAGCTGCAACTGCTCGCAGTCGAGGCAGCTTTGGTCCTTCGCCTCGAAGTCCTCCTCAAACGCGTCATCGCCAGTGTTCAGCTTTTCGCGCATGAACTGCCGCATGCGGTGCATGGAGGCGTGGCGACACAGCTCTCGGAGATCGGATCCCGAGAAGCCAGGCGTGAGCCGTGCCAGCTCCATCAGATTGACCGAAGGATGCTGCTGCTCGCTCTGCAGGATCAGCTGAAGAATGGCCTGTCGCTGGCTGTCGCGCGGCACTCCGATGTGGAATTGTGCCGGCATGCGGCGCAGGATGGCCTTGTCGAGGTCCTGCGGCCGATTGGTGGCCCCCAGGACGAGGACACAACCGTTGGTGCTGCTCATCAGGCCGTCCCACTGCAGCATAAACTGGGTCTTCATCATGGCGGTGGCCTCATGATCCCCGGTGCCGCGAATGCGCAGAAAGGAGTCGATCTCGTCTATGAAAATGATGCAGGGCTGAAGCTTTTGGGCCAGCGTAAAGACGGCAGTGGCTAGCTTTTGGCTTTCGCCGTACCACTTGTCCGTCAGCACGGCCACGTCCAGATTGATGAACCGCATGCCAGCATCCTTGGCCATGGCCTTGGCAATCAGAGTCTTGCCACATCCTGGCGGTCCGTGCAGCAGGACGCCCTTGGGCGCCCGCCACAATTGGGAGCGGCGGAAGAGCTCGCGGTGGCGTATCGGCAGCACCACCGTCTCCCTCAGCTCCTGAATGACCACATCCAGGCCGGCTATATCCGACCAACTGACATCGATGTCCTCGGGGGCCACCAGATGGGAGGCGATCACCATCTCGTGCTCGTTAAAGTCACGGCTCCGCAAATTTTGGGCCGCACCACAGGCCGCCGAGTTCAGCTTGCGCAGCTGCTGCTCCGCCAACTGTTTGGCCTTTTTGCGCACCTTGCTGTTGGGATCCAGTGCGCCGATCAACCACTTGGCACTGTAGTAGGTAATGGCCGTCACCGCGCACATCCGCGCCACTATGCCCAGGATGTGGCCACGCGATCCGTCCGGCGAGTCCATTTTTAAACACTCCAATTTTTGTCGGACGAGAATGTCAATTCTAAAATGTCAAATCAAAGTGCAAACGACAGAATGGCTCCTGGGACTTAACTAAATTTGTAATAAGCTTTTATATGATTTCGCCAAATTGTAATTTAACAAAGAAAAATAATCATAACTATTATTTAAAGCTGGCCTTGTCAATAGATAAGCTAACTTGATTGAACTCCGTAACTCATAAATTAAACATTTTTTTGATTAGTAAACTATAGAATTAACTAAATTGATTGATGCAATATCGGCTATTTCTAACAATGTGGATAACTGAGCAGCCAGCGTTTTAATTTCTGCTTAACTTTTCCTGCTCGCCCCTGCTTCTTCTCCAGAATTTTGACGCTAACCTGTAAGAAACGCCAGCAAATAAAACAGAAAAGAGTGAATGGAAGGCGGAGAAGAATGTTTTCTAGTTTAGTATCTTTTAGCGGAAGTCAATGTAACAAAAGATAAACTTGTCGAGCCAGCTGCTGTTCGTTGTGCCTTGTATCTAGCTGCTTCGCAGTTCCTTCGGCATCCTGCTGAATTGAACGCAGCAGCCGAGGACGAAAGGCCAAGGCGTAAGACGGTCAGAAGTATTAACTAAACACTGCAGCAATTTATCTGCTAGCCCCTTTAGCACTCTTTACCACCCTTTACCCAGGTCAGTTCTTGGCTTTGTTTTAAAGTTTTTTCTCCATCCAAACCCTTTCCCGTTCCCTTCTCACGGAAATCGCTGTGCACTGTGTTGTTTTGAGCTTCCTTCCGCATTACAAAAGAATTACTCAACACAATGTCTGGCCGAAGTTTTCCACGACTACCAAGTGGATCTGCGCCATCCATTGCTGCAACGTTTGCCTCCAATAGTTTTCATATTCCCAGCTCAGGTGGCTCTGGCCGTCCCCAAAATTGGGGAGCTCTTGTTTACTTTTTAATCCAGCATTTTCCCTTTTGAGTGTCCTGGCCAAAAATTAAGACTATTTGCCACATGAACAGGTAAATTACAATACAGCCAGTTAAAGTTGAGCAGTTTCAAAGCACTTTAAGGCTTACATTGTATTTGTTCATACCACAAATTATAACTGCCTTAAATTATTTGAAATACTTGTTGAGAAGGTATTTTCATCTCAATCATTGAGATGGGCAATCATTTCTGAGCCCTAGAAACTGATCTGCTCTTGACCTTTGGCCACTTAGCTGAATTTCGCAGACTTGGACGTGGCTTTTCAATGAAAATCACCGGCATCCGTGAATGACTATGCCGAGATGCAGGTGGAGAGCTTAAGGGCATTATATGATGCCACCTCCCTGGGGCGCCATTATGGATGCAATTTCAGTGCGCACTTTGTGCTACATCTTTAAGCTCGTTAGCGTGCCGGCAACCTTTATGTTGTACAAACGGCCCAACTTCTTCCACTGTCTATGCGCCTTTCTCCGAGCTACTTTTGAAGAGTTCATAAAAATCACTTCAACTGTGCAATATTTCATGATTCAACCGTCTCAGTACCTTTCACTGCATACCACCCCTGGCTTCGTCATCGTTCGTCCTTCGTCCTTTCCTTTGTGAGATTCCAAGTTCGTTCGTTCGTTCTACTGAACACACGAAAAATTTAATTATATTTTTTGTTGTTATTGCCGTGCCTATATTGTTGCTGAAACTGAAGCCGCTTTCACTCGTAAACTTTTGGAGGGCTTAGAAAGGAGCTATCTTGGCATAAAGTTTTCATCTGGAGATTGTTTGGTATGCATAGAGCATTGCCAATGCCGATATAAAAACTAAAAAAAAAACAAATAACTCTTAAATCACTTAAATTTTTAGTAAATTTCTACCAGTATGCAATACATGACTAAAGCTATTTTATTGAAGTAAGACTTTTTATTGCAATGGAATCGGTCTCAAATGGAGTAAATAGAACGTTGGTTTTATGAGTACTTTCTAATAAATAAAGCCTATTTCACGATTTATACCTTTTCACAGAGTCTGTCATTAATTTCCTGTCCATCTTCTTCAGCAGTCTGCCCATGATCATATCGTATAGCGTGTCCAAATGGGGCGACAGATAGACATCCAGCCGGACATAAGCCTCGATTTCGCGCAGCAGTTGCGCACAAATGTCAAACTGCCCCTCGCAGAACTTGGCCAAAATGGTCCACATATTTGGCGAGAGTTGGAAAAAGGGCTTAAACGGCTCGGAGTTGATGGCGCGCAGCTGTAATTTCTCCCTATCGAAAGTGGCTAGGGCGCAGAGTCCGGCATAGTAGCCAACATCCTCGGGGGCCACGATTTTGTCGTACTCATAGCGCCCGAATGGAGTGTTCAGGAAGTACTGGGCGGCGGACTTGTAGATCTTAAGGCCCATATTGGCCAAGCCGGCGGCGCAGCTTAAGCGAGCCGGAACTTCCCGGGCCAGGTTCTCGAAGCCAAAGGCATACTGTTTGGCCTCGTCGACGTAGGTCAGTACGTGCCACCAGTTCTCCATGTAAATGGACACCCTGATCAGATTGCGGAACATGATGATCACATTGTCGCTGCTGGTACAGTAGGGCCTGGCTCGAGCGTAGAACTTGACTGCCATCTGCAGGTTGCCACTTTTCTCGTAATGATCCCCGATCTCCTCCAGAATGCGTCGCACATAGGCGCTGCCCGAATTCGATTTCTTGAAATTCAGCTCGGCATCCAGTTCCTGCAGCATCAGAGTGGCCTCCATGGTGTTGTCCTCCACCCAATAGGAGTCATAGGGCACAGCGATTCGCCCCCTGCCACTCGAAGTGCTGGCCTCGTTGCCATTTGGGGCAGAACACTCTTCTCCGTTCGCCTCCAGCCGTTTCAGAGATGTCCTGTCCACCGCAACACAGAGCGTCTTGTAGAGCTCGTCGTATAGCTTGACATTGTAGGTGGTCTTCACATGATCGATGGCCAGTTCGAGGGCAGGAACCCTCAGTTGCGGACACACCTGGGCTATGAACTTCAAGCGGATGAGACGAGGGATGTCGGTGTATCGATCGGCGTAGCTGGGCAGATGCAACTTGGTCCCCTTGGTCACATCATCGTCCACCGAGCCCGAAATCGTCAATGTATCAAAGAAAATACCAGGACTGTCGGACATCGGCGGTTTCTGAGGGGAAATAAGTTGGCAAGTTGTTTACGAACTTGGAAATTTTATCTTGGCAGTGTCCAAAACTTTGTGATTGTGTGAGAAGAGTGCTCTGAGATGTTTACAATCTAGGGTATATATCACTAATCAATATCCATATATAGCCATATAACTGCAAACAAATCAATTGAAAGGTATTTTATTTGCTTCTGCTTAGAGAAACTTTCTTGTACAAAAAAAAACAGAAGAGAATCATTGGATATTTTGAATTTTAATTTAATAATCGTTAAAAGTAAATCAATTAAGGTAAATCAAAAATTTATAGAAAATCTAAGGTAATGTTAAGAGCTTAAAGGCTTATCAAAAATGTGTTTTTCAACAAACAATTCCAACTATTTTAATCTCCGCTGGTAAAATTACCAAATTTAATTTCTAATAAATTGAGCTTTTAAATGCTTCCGCACCAATCCTTACAAATATTTTTTTGAATTTCAGTTTTTCTTGGCTTTAAAATCAAAAGCTGTATGGAAAGAGTTGGCAAATCAGTTGGCCATTTGAATGAGGCGCCTAAGAGCCAAATCAATTCAGAACTTTTGCACGATTTTCCTCCTGTTCGGATTTGGCCATTTTGCATTTGCGTGAGGAAGCGAAAGACCAACGACCAGGCCAATAAATTCAGCCAAAAGCGACGCATCAATAAACCGTTAACTAGCGGTAACAATTTCTTATAAATGTTCGTTTCGATTTCCCTCCTTTCGCTCACTGATTTATGGGTCTCTGATGTCTGCGATTTCTCAAGTTCTGGTAATTTGATTTTTGCATATTCTCCCCACTTCTAGCCAACCCTCGTAAGATCCCTTTCAATGCCTTTTGCCAATTTGATTTGTATCTGTGTAATGGAATTTGGTTATTTCCCGGGCATTGTAACCATTTCGGACAATCTGCAGATACAGATTCGCGTACGGGCTGTTGCATATTGCATGTTGCGAGCATGTCAGACCAGGCGGCTACCAAATGTCTTTAGCAGAATCACATCAATTTACACCTACACGTAAAAGTCAAATGAATGGTTATATTACTTATCTGAAAAAAAATGCATCGGTAGTCTGAAATAGATTTTTGTGATTGAATGTTTTGGGAAATGCCTAAATGAAAATGTTTCATCGTTACTTGCTTGAAAATGTATTTTAATTAATGAATATTAAGAATGTTTATTTTTACTGGCTCCGATACAACTATTAAACTATTTTTTGGCACAAATAAGGCTTAAACAACGCAAATAATCTACTTGATCTTAAATCAATTTGACAGTTTATTTTATAGAAATCAAAATAGCTGCAGAACGTGAAAATTTTAGAAAATTTTCCCTTGGTGGATTGAAGGATAACACGCTTTTATATTTAAGGCTCAGATCTTCAAGTCAGCGGTAGGCATCTGAACGAAACAATTTTCATAGTCAGAACTAAATAAAAGCGGAAAGGCAATGGAAAAATGTCCAATTCGGTATAAAGGAAGTGGTAAGCAGAAGGTTTGGCTAGCTGTTCCTTCGGCGATAGTACCGCCACATGTCACAGATGGCCGGCCGGAGCAGGCAGTTGCACTCGATGGGCCGGTCATCCGGGAAGGGATCCTTACAGCACTCGGAGAAACTGGGATACTTGGTCTTTCGCCGGCTGCCACATCGTCTGAAAGGACGACGGCACTTGGGCGGATTGCGGGCGGCCACGCAGCAGTTGGGCATCTTGAAGCGCGGACAGGCGGTGGACTTCATCAGTTGGCAGGGCTTGGTGAGCTTGAGGTCCAGCCGGCCCAAAACGCACATGTCGGGGCAGCAGGCCTTGGTGTCCTTGCGCTGGCGTCGCGGCATCGGCGGTGGAATTGGAACGCAGTGGGCCTTGCGCTTGCGCCGCTTGACCACGCACTCGGACCAGGTGCGCGGATAGCAGCGATTGCCCATGTCCGAGGGCTTGTAGTGGGTGAGGTCCAGGGACAGGACATCGGTGGCGCAGGGATCTGCCAGGCAGTGCTTGCGGGCATCTATGAAGGCGTGCACATTGAACTCGGGGTCCGACCTGCACTTGTACTCGGTGCGGCGCATCGACTGCCAGCAGGCATCGTACACCTTGGTCTTGTCCTTCGGCTCCCTTGGCTTGAGGTCCTTGCGCGGCTCGGTCGGTATCTTCGGGAGTCCATGCTCCCAGCCATCCGGCGAGTACAGACTGCCCTCAGACTCCTTGTTGAACTGGCGACAGGACAATAATATGCTGGACACCTGCTTTTGCAGCACATGCGACATTGAACACAGCGTCTTGCTCTTCGAAAGCATCGTAATTTTGATCGATTGTGATTGGTACTATTCCGAGGGGAAAGAACGGTGTGGTCAGTTGATTAGAACGAGTCAATTTTGAGGTCAAAATGGTAAAGCGAATTGAGAAAACTTTCGCTTAAACACTATTACTCTCGCTTCATTTTTGGTTTTTGATGTGCTCGCTTTGAAGCTGTTAGGAAGACTGATTTGGAGGCAGTCGTTGTGGTGGCAAAAGCACTGACACCTCGACTGAAACAAATCTCATGGGTGTTTCGAACTCATTCCCAGTGCACTATGGGCAAAAGTTTTGAGAATTGTGGATTAAGTTCAATTTTGTAAGATAAAACAAGGTTGTACTATTATTTGAAATATGTATGTACAATTTATTGATTTATTTCTGTAACAACTATTACTGAACTTTATACCTTGCCAACTTAAGGTTCTATTGTTTATGTTTGATATAAAACTGAATTTCGTTCTTAATTTTCTAAACTTTATCTATATGAGTCCAACGTCCACATTTTAAGACGAAATCTTCGTTCCCAACATTAGTCATTATTAAGCGGAAAAACTAATATTTTATAATTTTGCAAAACCGTCAAAAAGAAGGAATGCTAATAATTTTTGTAATTTTGTAAAACCATTGACACAATGTTGCTATATTGGCCTGGATCTCAAATCTCAAAGTTTAACATGTCTGCCAAATCATGTCAAAAAATCACAGACAGCATCAAAAATCGGAGTCCATATATCCATACGAGAAAACGGGGAAAAACTCATTCTCTGGACCAAGGGCTGACCTGCCACGGCCATTTAATGCCCATTGGTTGTCAAACACTCACACACTCACCCACTTCGACCGCTAATCGAGCGCCGAGGCTTTGCGCCTAGATTGCAATTAAAATCGATTTTCCACTTTGATCGGAGCTCTTTGATTGCCAAAAGCTGCCCCACCCACAAACGCCCGCCCACCGCCACACCCACCTCCACACGCCTGCGTTTGACGTCTATTGTGTCGATTTGTGTCTGTCAACGTCTGGGCTGCAACATCCAACCATCCAACCATCCAACACCCGCCTTTCGCCATCAGCCCTTTGAACAAATTTTAATGAAATTAGAAATTTGTACGCGCCGACAAAAACTGAAAACGATGCCAGCGTTTTCTGGGGCACACACTCCACTCCAGTCCACTGGCCGGCGTCCTCTCGATTTCTTGTCAATTGTGAGGCATGCTCGACTTTGATTGTCATAGACTGGAGGCAACGAATTTCGCGTCTTTCAGCCATCAATCCGGGCCACTTTTAATCAAAAGTCATTGTGCAACGGACAGGTCGCGATAGCTAAAAATTCAAATAAAAAAATTTTATAACTTTAAAAGTTTTGCTAAAAGACTATAGATATTTATATTTCCCCAAGTGAGACCACTGCCTTTATTATTCTCTTAAGAAGTGCATCTATTTTAGTTAAAAGCCTGTCGTTGTGAGAAAATTTAATTATATTTCAATTTCTTTCTTGTTCCGTTTTTTCCCACCACAGGAAATTAACACAAACAAAAGATGACTCAGGAGCGGAGCGAAGAGTAAAAGAAAGCTTCCACTTTTTGCACTCCAATTTATTGTCTTTGACGCGGTTCAAGAAACCAACCAGACAGTGGCTGCCACGCCTCCAGAATCATCTTCAGAGGAGTAGACCACAACATAGAGAATGAGTGGGAAAGAAAGAGATTTCTTGTTGGGCTAATTAAGTTTGGGTCTGCCTTTAATAACAATAACTACAGAAAACAATTTGATTCTTCAAATAAAAAAAATGTAAAAATAAAAGGTTAAGGATTTTAAGATCCCAGTGCTTGTGCTAGTATACACATTTCATACAAATGATATATGTTTTCAATTAAATGTTGTAAAAAGGTTTTTATACCCTTGCAGATGGTATATAATTTCAGTCACAGGTAAGCAACGCAGTGAAGGAGACATTTCTTGAGAGGAGGAGAGTCGATCTAGCCATGTCTGTCAGTCCGTCCGTCTGTCCGTCCGTTTGAAAGAAAAAGCGTGAAATAAAAGTTATGGATTTTTTTTCGGATATTTAGAAAGGGGTTACATCATAAAAATGACAAAAAATCGATCCGAAATTACAAACCAATTTTTTAACGCAGAGTTTTAGAGACTGAAGCCCCAATACGTTAAAGATATGCCATTTTAAAATCGGATGTTTGCAAGAAAAGTTATGGAATTAAATTTTTTTTCGGAATTTAACTTAGGAGTTATGTCGTAAAAATATCAACCCAAACTTTCAGACCAAAATTTAAATGCAAATTCTTAGAGGATTAAGCCACAAGACTTTCAAGATATATCACTTTAAAATCGGATGCGTAAAATAAAAGTTATGGATTTAGAACTGAAGGTTTTTGATCACTTTTCTGCAAAGACCATTTTTTCGGATATTTAGAAAGGGGTTACATCATAAAAATGACAAAAAAAACGACCCGAAATTACAAACCAAATTTTAAACGCAGAGTTTTAGAGACTGAAGCCCCAATACTTTAAAGATATGCCATTTTGAAATCGGATGATTGTTAGAAAAGTTATGGAATTAAAACTGAAGGTTTTGGTACCTTTTTTAAAATTATTTTTTTCGGAATTTAATTAAGGAGCTATGTCGTAAAAATATCATCCCAAACTTTCAAACCAAAATTTAAATGCAAATTTTTAGAGGATTAAGCCGCAAGACTATGAAGATATACAACTTTGAAATCGGATGCGTGAAATAAAAGTTATGGATTTAGAACTGAAGGTTTTAGGCCACTTTTCTGCAAAGACCGTCTTTCTGTCCGTCCGTCCGTTTCTACGCAAGCTTGTCTTTCAGCTTTAAATATATCTGCATGAAACTTTCCCAAAAGTTGTCTTTCTATTGCAGGTAGTACATAAGTCGGAACGAGCCAGATCGGTCGACTATAGCATAGGAACAATCGGAAAAATAAATGAAAAAATAGGTATAAGTATATAATTTCATCAAAAACGGTCGACTATAACATTAAAGCTCCCATGGCAATATCTGCAAATGTATATGAACTTCGACTTGCCAAAGTTTGCTTCTTTTCTTGTTAATACCTATATTTGTTGGTCCAATCAAGGCAATTAGTTATAAACAAAGGCTAAATTCAGATACAAGTTGAACAGACAACTCAAAAAATGGCCGGCAACAAGCCAATCATGTCCAAATAATTGTTTATTTTCAACAAAATTTATCGTTCACTGCACCTGCGGCATGCCCCAAAAGTGGGCACATAGGCAAGGGAAGAGCAAGGGGTCAGATGTACTTCCCAGCCTGGTATAGAGTTTCATTTGCACTCGAAAACATGGAAATTGAATGCCCTCATGAGTGTGCAAATTTTATATATAATTTGTACAACAAACAAATGAGTGCCAGACAGAGACAGCCAACCAGTACCGAGAAGGTGCGATAGAGAGAGTGCTCTTTAGGCTTTGTGCTGTGTTGACCATTCAGCTTGAGTAAATAAAACATGTAAGCTGTTTGTCAAATATTTACCATCGGAGCTTTAATGCCATTGCATGCGCGATTTCAGACACTTAAAGCCTCCTTTTCTTCACTTAAAATAAAATTAGAGTGTCCCCTTGCTTTCTTCGATTTATTGAAAGTTAATAAAATAATCATTAGAATTAATTTACAAATTTGAAATACATAAGGTGAAAAAATAAACATTTATTATAAAAAATGTATTGTATCATAAATTAATAAAAAAGTATTATTAATTAATTAATCAATTTTAAAATTATGCATTTTTTAAAACAACAGGATCATCTGCTGATATTAAGATAAAGTCAATTTAAAAGGGAATATTAATGCATGATAGGGATAAAAGTTAATAAAGTTTGAGTAAAAAAATAAATAATTTTGAAATGAATAGAAAATATTAAATAAACTAATGTTAAAGACCGAATTTATTTTGGCACTGTACACCTGACATACACCAAAACAGGCAGCCCGAGTAGCTAACTGGGAGGCGAGGACGATGAGCAGCAAAGTTCAAATTCAATTACCTTTCAAATATTTGCATTTTGCGACACAAACTTTCATCATAATGCTGCACAATGGCTGCCACTCGAATGCCACTTGAAAGCGGCCAGTGGGTGGTAGTGAGTGGCTGTGGATGGTTGGCCATAGAGCTATATAGGAACGATAAAGAACAGACCGGCAGGAAGCAGCACTCAAAACAGTTGCCGCTAATGTCGTCCTTCTTCTTTTGGCCCAACGACAACGACCCAACGTCGCCGAGTTCGGAAACGACAATGACGTTAACTTTCGCCGCCTACTGTATCCCGCCGCTCCCTCGTTACCGCCCACTTTCGAAACAATTACAAAACAAAGGCCAGGGACTACAAGCGCCTGCAGCGGAGCACGGTCGACGTTGAATGTCGAGCGCATAAAAAATACCTAAATAAGCCAATTTCAAAACAGAAATTGCAACAGCAACTCGGCCGTCCTCCTCCGAAAGCTGCATGTGGTTCTGAATATTTTCAATGTCCCCTCGGTTGGATGAGGGGTAAATTATGAAAACCGAAATCAACAACCTACTAAGGCTCATATTTCATTTATCCAAACGCTGTGATATTAAATTAAAAAATACGTACAATAATCTTTGTAAGTAAAGAAGCAGAAATCCTACACCCTTTTAATAGTCAAATTTAATTGAGCTCTGCTAATAGGGCTTCAAATAGAATTGAACTTAAAAATACCTACTAAATTATAGAAGAAAAAGGATTTCAATGTTATCGGGGCTCTTTCTTGGAAATTATGTTCTAGTTAAAAATTTAAATTATTCACTAGTGGTCTATAGTTAAGCATAAAAAGTTTGTGTTAAGACTTCCCACTTTCAGTGTAAATACCCAATTTATGAATTATTATTATTTATCTATAATTAATAATTATAAAAAGGAATTTCTTAAACTTCATTTCAAAGACCGTGTCCCTATTTTTTATCAGTGCAGACTTACAAGAATACTTTGATGTTTATTTAAGAATACCTAAAATTTTTTTTCTCGATAGATTCGTGCCGCGCCCAGAATTTGCAATTGATGCATAAAATTTGTCTTTTCCAAAGCAGACATCGAATATATTATGCATTAGGGAAGTCTTGTCGGAGTGACTTCATTCGCTAACCCTATTTACATGATGAATTCTTTGCCACGCACCAATTGAGG